AACACATAAATGATTAATTATTGTTGCGAACGAAGTTACAATATCATTTAAATTCTGAGAGCATATGTAAATCAAGTGCAAGTATCAAATATCAAAATCCATGAATAAATATAAAATTCCAAAAATAATTTAATCCTAAAAAACTTATTTAGAAAAATGCATAAGTGAATGTTTGTTGAGCAGGCAGGAGACAGACTTATCAAGGAGAAGTTGCCTCCAAAACTAACTCTTCAAACATTCAATTCGTGTTTCGTCATCCTTGTAGGCAAGGGTCTTTATACTCGTTATGAAAAAATAAAAGTACAAGAAGTTTGACTCCCGTACTACAAAAATTAACCGGAGAATTAAATTTCAAAATATGCAATCTTTGATGCTTTTTTCCAACTTCTCTTGAGAGATCGGTTAATTAATTAGAATAATTTGAGGAAATAGGTTAAACAAAGTGCAGCAAAAAAAGTGCATATCTAAATAGTCCCTACAAGGAAGTCATGTACGGTGTGTAGATCAGAAATGTTTACCATTATTATTCTACCCAGAGGTTTCCAAAGGGATTGGTTCGACCCCTGGAGGTTGATGAAATTTTAAAGGGGGGCAATGCTGATAAGTGTCCACTGGAGGTCGATGCCGAATATACACCGCCATTGATCAGCATAACAAAAAAAAAATGTGTGTATAAAACTGATATTTGTTTATTGACATAACACTACATCATAAAAAGTCAAGGCTTATTCAAAAGACGTGTGTGCGCTAAGTTTTGGAATTCCAAATATTCGAGAGAAATATTCCGAGATAAAATTTTTAACCGACCCAACATTATTGACTTTTTTCTCTTCTTACATTATGTGGAAGCAGGCTTTTGGTCATGCCAATAATTTACTACGAGAAATAGGTCGAATATTTTTGAACGACATGATTTAAGAATTAAGTTAAGCAAATTTATGCCAAATATTCTTAAGATGCATCAGTCCATCAAGCACAGTCATCGCATTCATTAAAATCGAATATTTGTGAAATTAGAATGTATGTTTTTTTTTTTTTTTTTTCCTGATAACTTATTTATGCGTATAAATTTAAAAATTAGAACACAAAAAGTAATAAAACCTAAGTCTAATAAACCATTTTTCAAAACTTTCGCTTATATTCTTAGTCTTTTATCTTTAACTTATTTGTGTGCAGATATTTAATTGTGCACTGTCTATTATAGAGAAAGACGTAAGGGTTTGGATGAAGAAATTAATTCTCATGAAAGGGTGAGATGCAAGAAAAGGTTTGGGAATATCTACACTGACTACCAATAAGTATTTGGACACCTGTGCAAATGATGATATCTGCGGTCCCAAGGTACGCCACGGACTCCGCCGGTATATATCAAGTAGGAAACAGCATCGGCTTTAGTCGCATGCAAGATGCCTCGCAGTTCGGAGCTCTCTGATTTCGAGAAAGGTATAATTATCGGGTATCACAAATGTGGCCGATCCTTAAGGGGCATATCTAGTGATCTGAAGTACCCAATATCGACAGTGGCCTATGTGATTAAGAAGTGGAAGGTGAGCGTTGATTGTCGGAATGTCCCGAGTCGGCAGACCAACGAACTGGGGATAGAGACCGAGAGTGCTGTTCAGAGAAATTCGGAAGAACCGCACCCAACCGATAGCCCTCATCCGCGAGGAGTTTCAACAGGCATCCGGAAGTATTGTTTCAATGAATACAATCCGTAAGGAAGCACATCACACACTTGGTTTTCATGGTCGTGCTGCTGCCCATAAGTCTTTGATCACAAAATCCAACTGTGCTGCTCGGTTAATGTGGTGCAAAGCACATCGAAATTGGACCGTAGATCAGTGGAAACGGGTTCTTTGGAGTGACGAATCAAGATTCACCCTTTACCTTTCGGATGGCAGGGTCTGGGTCTGGCGTCTACCTGGAGAACGTCTCCTGCCAGAATGCATTGTGCCAACAGTCAAGTTCGGCGGAGGTGGAATTACGGACTCGGGGTGTTTCTCCTGGTATTACCAACCTTCATTTACCAACAAAAAGAAGAAGTTACAATATTGTTGCGTGCGTACAGTTTCGTAATAGACTGAATGCACACAGAACCGATGGAAGCTTGATAAAATTTATTTTAGCAAAAGAAACACTTCACATTTCTGGAATTTTTGACAGCAATTGTCGTATAGCTCTTCACAGAAACACAGAGTACAATCAGTAGTTACACTTCTACGACTACTAAGAACGTTAATCACAGCGCAATAGCATTTGGGCTCGAAATATTTAAAAACAGCATACCTTTAGAAGTTCTGATAGACAGTCTCGCGCATTGGAGATAAAAATATTTTATTCCGCACATGTGTTGCCTCCGCTCGCTTTGAAATCGTTGAGTTTCTTAATCAAAAATTCGTTAAATTAAAAAAAAATATGAAACAGATAATAAAACAAACTCAAAATTCAAGATTCGGGCTGTCAGGTGCCGTGTTGGGATGGAGGGCTACGATATTCAAAATTTGATGGCTCTAGGTATCATTGTTTTCTCACAATGCAAGAAAATATATACATTCATGCAGATTCTTCTTTATTTAATTCTTTAAGTATAATACAGGGCGATATTATACGGTGGCAACAATTTGAAATGTGATACAACGCAAAATGCCGTTTCGACACTAATAGCCCTTCTAGGCTAACACCTTTTTCAGCTAAAAATACAACGAATTCACACAAAATTTCTTTAAAATTATAATTCCTAACAGTATTATCTTTAAAGTAATAGCAATACGCGAAGTTTTGAGATTTCTTCTAGGTGTCTAGTATACTCGACGAACGCTTTAATATGCAGAAGATAATAAGAAACCTATTTAGTTATCTAGCACTGGTATCATTCTATCGCATGACTTACCGTAAATGGTGAATGACTTACCGTAATTAATGAGATACTACTGTTTATAATGAGCTTTTACCTCGCAGATTAAAACTATACGTAGCACGTTTTTTTATAAACTAATCAGACGTATAAACATTAATGCCCGAGTGGAAAATGCCTGGTTTAGGAACTCGTTTGTTTAAACAGTCACCCGTTCTTTTTTCTTCCATCTTTTTTGGAAATATTTATTACGCATGATTTTAATTATTGACGGTAAAATATTTGTTTAATAAACATGTAGCTATAATTAACTTCCTTTCCTCAAACAAAAACAGTAAATTCGTTTCGCGTAAAAAGGAATTATATGGCGAGATGATTAACAAAAGATAATCAGTCATAATTAATTGCTTTTATTAAAGCAAATAGAAAAGCCCGATCATCTTTACATCCTTTGAATGCCATCTTGCGTCTCCAATTTCATTCATTTCATTCAAATTGAAATCTACAATAGATTTTTTTTGTTTTTGGTGGCTGAAGCAACAGTGCGTATATGATGCGAATATTTAATATCAATGACCTCTGTGCGTATGATTTTCATTGTGTTCACACACTATTAGACTATCAGGTGCATCCAGTTGTGACGATTTCTCATTTTGAATGGATTTAATCCGAAATTGATATATCAAAGTGAAAGCGCTACTCTGTAAACAAATTTCACTTTATTTTCGGCTTAAAATAATTGTTTGAAGGAATATAATCTTTTAAGATTATTTAAAGTTTGAAGATGTTTGCATAAATTACACTTAATGCTGTCTTGTTCCTAATGCTGAGCTGTGCTGAGTTTCGTGTATTATGACGTGAATGACAATATTCTACGTAGGTTCTGAAGGCAGATCAGTTGAAAACGAAGTTTCTTACGAAATGGCAATGCTCGCTAGACCGCGCGAGTGATAAATATTGTTTAATAAAACATTATAGCCTCAAAACATTCATAAAAAGTTTTAATCGAGAAATTTTTAACGATATAATTTGCGTTTTCGTGCACTTGAAGTGTATAGATATTTAATATAGCACAAAAATGTATAAAATTGCTCGAAATTTTAGTATTACAAATAAATATAGCTTAGTATTTCCATTTTCAGAAGTTATTGTGTCATTCATCATTCGCGAAAAGCTTGGTGAATATTGCTATTCCACCAAATATAAAATCTTCCATTTTTTATCTACGTAGCTGGGCATATATTCAGCTTTCAGAATGCTTTCATTTGGAAAAATGTAAGTTCTAAAATTCATCTCCAAATTTTAATCAGTTTGTAATTGGAAATCAAATAAAAGCAATTTAAATCAAATAATTCATCAATTAAATCGTAATTTTGTTTTTAATAATATATTTAATTAATGCAATTTAAATTGCATTTTATTTTAATCTATAATATCCAGTTAAGAATTTTTACGACCGTTTGAAATGGCAACATCTGCCAAGCCTCGTACGTGATAATGCACTGCTGCAATTAACGAAAAATGTTTCTATCTTTATATGTTACACACCTCGATAAGAAGCTATTCTTTTATATACAGTAAAATCTCTCATAACCGACACCACCGGCAATATCAAAATAACGGCACATTTGAAGGTATAAATTTAAGTACGAAATTTAAGCCTATGAAATAAAAAAAAGTATGTAATGGACTAAAAATCTGAAGCTTTAAATGTGGAAAATATTTGTGTTATAATTCTGCCTCCCATCATAACAAGCCTTATCCAACAAATTGATTATCTTAAAAGCTGAACTATCGATTACTTTTTTGTTGGTCGATGTGTTAACTTTAAAGATGCGATCTATGACTTTCATACACAATTTTCATTGTAAAACGCTAAATTTCAGACCTCAAAATAACACTTTAGCCGAAATTACTGAATTTTTTTGAGACAAAAGTAAAGTTATCTGAAATTTTTCCTCTGGGCCCAAACTTGCTTAAAAGCCCGATATAGATATGGACAAAAATAGGGTATATGACAGTTCGTCAGATTCGCTGTAGGGTGAAAAAATAAAATATTTCCGCGCCCATTGCATTCTGGAAATGGTTGAGCGGCGAAGGATAGAGGTATCAATCTGGTGGATAGCCATCATCTTAACGGCACACTTATTTATATTTTTTCTTTCCTTTCTTTTCAGAGGAACGTTAAATGGTCCGCAGCGATGTCCATCATCTGCCAAACCTTCGTCCAAAACGCCTGGCGGAGTGACCTCTGCTCAAACTGCTTCAAATCTTTTGCCGATCACTCCGAATCAGGAGGCAGGAATGTGTGCGAAAGGTTGTCCACTCCCAGATACGTACCTCAGGCTGCTACGCTCTATCAGGTAAATTAACTAACAAAAGTCATCGATAATTTATTCTTAAAAAACTCAATTATTCTGTGCTTCATTTAAATTTACCAGAATTTTTTTTCTTGAGCTACTCTTTTAATCCTGTGCGTTATTTTTCTTTAACCAAAATTTTATTTTAGAGCGCGTGCGTTATATTTCTTTAGCAAACTTCTGTTATGAGCACTCTTTTAATTTGGTGCATTTTATTTCTTTATCAAACTTTTGTTATGGAGCACTCTTTTAATTGTGTGCGTTATTTTATTTAAAATTTTATTCTGGAGCGCATATTTAGTTGTGCATTATTTTTCTTTATCAAACTGTTATTGTGAAGCACTCTTTTGATTCTGTGCGTTGTTTCTCTTTAACAAACTTTTGTTATGGAGCAGTCTTTTAATTCTGTGCGCTATTTTTCTTTAACATATTTCATTATGGAGCGTTTATTTATTTACCAAAAATTTTATTTTGGAGCAATGTTTGAAGTCTATGCGTTTATTTATTTATTTGCAAAAATTTTGTTATGGAGCACTTTTTTAATTCTGTACAGTATATTTTAACAAAAATTTCATTGTGGAGCATTCTTTTAACTGTCTTCGTTATTTTTCTTGATCGAAAACTTTATTTTGGAGCACTCATTTAATCCTGAGCGTTATTTTTCTTAATGAGAAATTGTACATTAGAATACACTTTTAACCACTTTGCGTAAAAGGGCAATGACCGAAAGTCCTAGACCCCTCCGTAAAGTATGTCTTCCTCTCGTGCTTTCCCACAATTCATTAAACAAGGAACAAAATGGAATGTTTTGAATCTTTAATTAATAGGCTTACACTTATTCTAGTAACGCTAATTTAGTCCTATAACCCTAACAGACGTGAAGAGTATTACGACTATGTCTGAGAACCATGACAACGTCTTAAGAAGATTAAAATAAACTTTTTTTTTTATTTAAACAGAATTTAGAACATAAGGCATTATCTTATGCCACAAAATACCATAACTCTTTGTGATGCAAATAAATCGAACAATCCAATTTAATTCAAACGATGAATGGTAATCAAGGATTACACAATTAAATGCTACTAGAAGCTGGCTCACGCTACCTGAGCATCAGAATTACGGTTTCGGCAGCGATAAACCGCAAAGCGGAATACTTACAAATATTACATTAACACCAAGTCGGGCTACATTACCTGACACCTCTTTGAGCGCCTAACATGTTTATACAGCCTCCCTCAGACGACTGCGCTGGCGAGGCGCCAACCCACCGAACAGCCCGCAGGGACTTCTCATGTTCATGTTACAAATATTACAGCTGGAAGGAAACTAACCACATAGCGCGTACGCGATGTCTGAAACACTCTCTGTCTCACATACAAAAAAACTCAGTTTAAATAATCGGTGATAATTTACATTCTGGGGAGGAAAACGGAAAGAAGAAGCTATAGTAACTGCTGAAATCAAAATAACTGGTTAATTAACATAAGATTTTCTGCAAATTAAGTTAGCATTTTGAATTTCAGAGCCGGGGAATCTCTTCGAGCTTGAAGTGGAGACTCAGCGACTCTTTGTACGGCGTGTCCTGTCGAGACTTTGGCTCTCAGACCACGACAAAGATGAGCCAGCAAGCCAACGAACAGCAAAATCGAGGAATTCTCATCAAGCAAAACTCCAGCGAGAAGAAAGCTCGAAGGTAATATATCTTCCGTTATCTTGTGTATTGTCTTCCGTTCTCCTGAACATTGTGTGTCTAAATGTGCAATTAATGCTTCTTCTTGAGAATTCTTTCTCCTTTACATTAAAAGTAAAATGACGAATTATATGCCTTAATAGCAGACTTGAAAATTTCAGCGACTAGGGAAAAAAGAATAACCTTTGTTTAACACGTTGACTGCCACGCGAGTTTATAAGAAAATCTCCGTCATGTCACAAGCATTGCTATATACTATATCTTGGGCCAGTTGCTTCTGATCATAGGATTTTAGAATGTCTAGAAAGAAAAGTTACGGAACATGCATTCAGTTGAAAATCTTAGCTTAAGGGGACTCGTACACCTTAAAACCCATAAGATGTTCGAATAGGTGACTGTTGCAAGAACTGGGATAACTTATTTATTTTAAAAGCAATTACTACCAACTTTTTACAGCTGACTACATAATATAGCTTCTTTCTGAAATAGTAATCAGAAAGTTTGTGTTGCCACAAATATTTTTATAATTTAATCCGCTTTGTGACAAAATTTTTTGTCATGTTTCCAACTTGCGCGCACAGTTTAAAACATTCCGTTTCATAAATTTAATTCCATATTTAATATATAGCTTTTATAACATCTGGAAACTACTGTGAACCTAAAATTCTAAAAATTTCATGTTAAATTTTTATTTTATTTTGAGTTGAGTTTATAAAATGTATTTTATTAACAAAATTTTTAATGTTTTCATCCATAAAGTTTTTCAATATTAAAATATTCTTCAGATTGTTGGTTCAGTTAAAAAATAGTGCCCATATAAAGAATTTCATCCAATTTCAAGTATGTACCGTTAGCCATTTTTAAAATATCATGCGCGCAAGGTGGAAACATGGCGAAATAATTTTGTCACAAAGAGGATTAAATTACAAAATTATTTGTGGCAACACAAAATTTCTGGTTACTAATTTCCAAAGCAGCTATATTATGTAGTAAGCTGTAAAACGTTGGAAGTAATTGCTTTTAAAATAAATAAAATATCCCAATTCTTGCAACAGTTACATATTCGAAGATCATGAGGAGCTTAAGGTGTATGAGTCCCCTTAAGAACGAAGTATGTAAGAAAGCATGCGAGTTGCAAAAATTATTTTTTCCTGTAGTGATGAATGGTTAATTTTTTTTGTCCTAAAGTTGTTGCATTAATGTTTTGGAATTTCAAAAAGACAAATGGAAGCATTATTTCTTAGTGAATCATATAGCAACGGAGAAGAAACCTATCACGAAACAGAAAAATTCGGATCGTAGCGATGCGGATCAGACGAAATGTTTCGGAAAAAGAGATATAAACAGAATTATGGCATCAGATTCTGATTGGAATGCTAACAAATACAGTGATAATGAATGCCGTATAGATACCACTGATCATACCCACATTTTTTATAATAAATACGCTCGTATTTTGTAAAATACACTTGTATTTTACAATAATTGGTTGTTGAAGAAGAAAGAAAAGTTGATAACAAAGAAAGCACAGTTCAGTTTAGTGAATTTAGTTGTCGACAGCAATCATTTCTTTTCTTTCTTTCATTATTCAATGATGATTTTTCTAAATACCAACTAACTTAACTCGTTAAGTACTCAAATAAGCGTCACCTCACCCGAATACGAATGATGTAGCCTGATTAGAATTTTGCCGGCACCAGAATAAGAGTGACGCTGCCTGATCAAAATTTTTGCCGTCACCCGATTACGCGTGACGAGGCAGTCAACGAGTCAAAGCATAAGTTTATTATTTCAAACACTTTATTATCTTATCTGACTAAAAGAACACGCCGAATAACAATTACTAGAGGCGCTAAAGCAACAAAATCAGCTTCATATTTAGCATAATCAGCATAATCAGCGTAATATTATTGACCAAGTGCTTAAATATTCTCATCACAACACACGAAAATGCATCGTCAAGTTTTAAGATATTATAAAAATTCTGTTGTCATTCCATTTTTCCGTCGATTAGCTATGAAACTGCACTCATTTTACATAAATTCAACTTTCGGGTAGTTTTTTCTTTTATCAAAAATGTTGGCAGTTCCATATTTAAGAACCCTATTCTGGATATGAACTCCTGGGGTATATACATGATTCCTAGGAAGTGTGGTTTAATTTGCATTGGTAAAACTAAGAGAACTTTAAAATTCCGCGGTATGAAACATAAGGCATGCGTTAGGAAAAAAGAAACACAGAAAAATCATCACTATTGGTCAAAGAATCACTTAGTTATAAAAAAAAAAATCACTAGAATTAGATTTTCTATAGGCGTTTCCAGATTCAGAAAATTCTTTCAATTCCAGTTAAAGATATCAGTTCCATTCCGACTTTACCCTTAACTTTTAAGAAAATTTTTCCATAGTTCTTTTCGTTTTTTTATCAGTAGATGGCGCCAGTAGTAGGACTTCCTTCCTCTGACTTAGCATAGGCTTCTTTTTGCTATTTGCACTACTGCAACTGAAGAAGCTTCTACATTTAAATCTTCGAAACTACGCTTGCAAATTTATGAATGTTACGCTAATTCTTGTTGCCTTAGCATTCCTAATAAATTTATTCTCTTAATTGAGTTTTTCAGTTGCTTAAATTTTGCACCATGCAAACAAATATTAGGGAATCTTGAAAAGACACATACATTGAAAATGCAATTTTTTTCTTTTTCAGTCGTCCAAACGTCGATTTCGCACCTGAAGAAGCGCTTGTTATCGGTTACGGGGGGAATGACTATGACTCTGACCAGTCCTCCTGGGAGATGGCTTCGGATGACGGTTCCATTGATTTGGATTTGTTGGATGACACAGACGAAGACAGGAAGATAACCAAACTTACAAAAAACAACACGGAATTCAACTCATCCAACAAGAATCTTTTATCCGTCGACGATTCAGCGCAGCGGGTGAAAAGGGAAGAAGAGAAACTGAATAGCATCAACAACAGTCACAGCACACCGGCCAAGATCACAGACAAGGCACTGAACATATTGTCTTGCGTTACTTACAATGATATACAGTCCCAAAAGACAAATAAGACACTGAATCAGTTCTATTTTTCATCCACCACGGAGTGCATTAATTCCTACCTACATGGCAGTAATGTAAATAAATGTATCAATGAAAATTCCTTACTCAATAACAAGAATCGGTCTCAATCATCGGACAACATAAAAATGGAGAATTGTAAGAGAGATGTAGCTAAAAGTGGACGAGATAATTGTAAGAATTTACTTATAAACGATGAATTCAGCCCGCTGAATACAAGAACGTATTCCTTTATTTCCGAACTCAGCAAAAACAACAATAACATGAGCTTCGAACAGAGTTCCGATTCTGATTACTCCACTTACCGACACACTGCTGGGGATTCGACGGATTCTGAATCCTTCCACGACACAGAAGAATCCAGGATTCTTCCTTGCCACTCTTTCCTGCACGAAGCGTTTCCAAGGAGTATGTCCCAACCTCAGATATCTTGCCTGGATAACGACAAAAAGTACGACGCCGGTTCTTCAACTTCTGGAGATGTCTCCAACCTATCTGATGATTCGGACACACATGAGTGCAAAGACAGAGTATATAAATCTCGAGGTGGTAGAACTTCAAAAATCTCCCCAACAACTGAAAACAAACGCGTTGCCAAAGAAAGTTCTAGAAGTAGTTTGTATCCAAGACGGGATAGCGAATCTCCATCCACGGACAATAAGAAAGAGACAAAACTACAGCCTTCTTCTAGACTTGATGATACTTCTTCTCAGGTATCTATGGGAACCAATTCGGCAGTTATTAAAATAAAAGAAGCTCATAAAATTGAAGTTACCTCTTCTCCACCAGATATCATCAAACAAACATGTAAAAAGGGAGAAGCGTTAAGTATCAAAGTTGACGCTCAGTCTAATTATAGAACCGAAAACTGTGAAAACTCTCCACCATTTAAGAAGTTAGATATTCTTTCTCATGAAAATAACCACAGTGAGATTGCTGTACCTAACGTAACCTCATGCGAAGGCAGTATCCAATCAGATAGTACAACTGCTAGTTCTGTAAACGCATCTTCACCTTCCCTAAGCACAGTAAAAGTGGATTTCAATAAAGGTAGTTTGGAAGATGTTACTAATGCAATTCTCACCAGCGAAGCGCAGAATAATGCTCCTGAAAGTTCTACAGATCATCCAGACACTAGTAAAATGAACTGCATAAAGGCTCACAATCTTCAGTCTTTGGCAGGTAGTCAGAAAACCGAACCCTGTGACAAACCACAGGAATTTTTCGACGAAAGTTCCGATACAGATAGATCCCCCGATGCCATTATCGATCGTCAGTCCAAACTCGCGGCATTAGCTCTTGAATTAGAAATGGCCCGAAGAGATTCTGCAAAAAATGCTGACTCAAAAAATAATATAGCGTCTCCCTCAGCGCCTGAAATTAAAACAAAATGTAGCCAATATAGCCCCACAATAGTTACTTCAAACATCGATGAAACTTTTTCCACGATTAAGAAACCCAGTGCCATATCTTGTGCCTCCAGGCTCTCCAGTCTTCCAGATGTTCTTCAAGAAACGCCTGCCAAACATAAGAAGAGCAAATTCTCCCTAAAAAAGCTCTTGAAGAGGAACAAAGAAAGTGGTACCTTTACGCCAGCTAACAAAGAAACTAATCCAAAAGCTTGGAAGAAGCAAACCTTCGACCGGTCCAGACTTAGTTTGGAAATAGTACATCCAATGGATCTGCCGTGCGATTCTCCTAACAGCACGGATAGCACACCGACCGAAGAGCATAGGCAACTTGTGTCCACCAACCCTGGTCGAGTTCTTTTCAGGGGTGTGTCTAATCGCGCTCGCAGTCTCTCTGCATTGCCACAACTTTCGAGTGAGTACCAGGACCAGGCTGCCTGCGCGTTATTGGAATGTCGAAAGATGGACACTGTCCCCGTGAGGAAGGCCGGTACGGTTGTGGAAAGGAAAAAGAACAGAGTAAGTCACATTTTAATGTTTTGTTCTGTAGTGTGCAAAGTTTAATTGGCAATCATTCGAATGCAATTAACAGACACGAATAGGATTCTTATCAAAATATTAGTTACACTGACGTCATACAAAAGCTCATTTAAAGTGAACCCCTTCTAAGATGACCCTCCGTTGATTGTTTTTCATACTTAAACACTTTACATTCTTTGCACTCGAGAGGTGACTCTCGGTCACCAGTTGATTTGATGCGGTAATTTGAAAGGTGACTCTCGATCTCCACTTGGTTTGACGCGATAATTCAAGTGGTAACGGTATTTATTTAGGTTTGTTTTGAGAAGTATCGCTTTGTCAGTGTATTCAACAACATATGCGTATAAAACAACTGGCAATCTTAAATCTTAAATATGTTTTTTTAGATTTATTGTTATACACGCGTCTACGACGTTAGTTCAAACTCGACAGTCGTGGCAGTAATATTATTTTCAAAGTTCCGAAATTGAATATACATGGAATACGATGCAGGAATCAGTTCAAGTAAAGAAAATTCGATTTTTGTTTTCCTTGAAGAACAAAATTACGCTTATGCATAGACTACTTGACGATAGAAAGGAGGAAAGCAGTGATAAAGACAGCGAAGAAGTAAGAGGTTTAAGAGGTTTAAGAGGGCGAAAAATCAGGTGTTAGTGAATGCGAAAACGACACTGAATTCCGTAGAAGAGACAGAAAATTCAGAATGGATAACGTGCACAGACTCCGAAATATCTCATAGAATACCGTTTGTATCATGCGAAAGACCCGAACAAGACCACACATATTTTCAAACACAAAAGAAACCATTAAATTTCTTTAAATTGTATGTAAAATCAGTTTAAGTTAGCTCTAAGACATTCACAAAATATTCGAAAAACCTTCTCGAGTTGCTGGTTCGCTAGAGCAAAAAATCTGATGTGTACACCATGACTTCCTTGCACGGAATATTAAATTATACGCATTTCTTCCTGCATATCATTTACACTTATTCACTTATTGAATTGAATTAAATCTACTTCGTCGATAGAGCATAAACCACAATAGAATAAATGCGCTTTTTAAAATTCATTACATTTATTTACTGTAGTGATAGTCTGGCGCTAGGTTTACTTAATAGCGTTACATCTCATTCATTTTCTAACTCAGAATGAAAAAAAAAAAATAATATCATCTGATATTATATCATCCTAATCGTTGCCACATGTTGTATCCAAATACCATAATAAATCTAAAACGATGTATAAAAGAAACTAAACAAACAAAACATAAACCGTTTTTCACAAACGATTGAGCGCTGCTTACCTAATGCGCATGCGTTACTCGGTAAACATTCTCCTCTGTCCGAAATAGACTGGCTACAGCATTTTCTGCTAATATGAAACACTTAGTTCCTCGAATTTCATTAGGGATATACTTCTCATTCAATTCAGTTCTCACTTCGCGCCAAGGCAAAAATAATAAAAATGCAAAGCATCTTCATTAAAAATTTAAAGATATAGTAAAACATAAAACACCAAATAGAGTTAAAAGAATTTTAAAAAAATACAATTAAAATTACAGTTTCTGCGCAAAAACAAGCAATTCGACCAGCGGACTAGAAGACAAATTTTTCGGTGCACAAAACTGAAAGTTTACTTTTGGTCTCACTCGGCAGAGAGATACTGATGGCGTTGAAACTGATTTAATTTGTTGTGGAGTCTATATTCGTTATACTGAGTCAATATTTGGGATAGTTTAATAACTTAAATGATAATTCCATAATGAATTATGCATAATTTAATTAGCTATAATAGAAGGAGACGTTGCTTTGTTGTTGCGAAGCTTATTTTTTTCTAGATTGGCAATAACTCCACTATTCTGCTAAGTTTCAAATGTAAACAAACATGGCTGCTATGGTAAACAAATTAGGCTTAACTGCACTTAAACAACCATGTTGAATTCTATATTATAACCAGGTTAACTCCTTCCGAAAGCTAAAAATTTAAGCAAAAACCAATTTATAAAAATAAGACGAGACACTGACCGAGTAATATGTGGGATCAATCCAATGCTGAATTAGAATTACCAGGATTATGACGTCATCAGTATAGCATCACCCAGCGCAGTAAGAATCATCCCAGACAGCGCTGAGACCTGGTCGAGAGTGGAGGGCAGACGTGAGCAGACGGCTCACACGTCTTCAAGAGTTTATGAACTTTAATTGTGCTTTCGATGTTATGCCTTTACATCATTATGTTAATCCTGCATACCGTTAACTTCATCTTTATTTACTTTTATTTCTTTCTATTAAATAAACCATTTAAATATTACTTCGTGCTCTCATGCTGTGAATCAAGTCAAATTCTACAAAAAAATATGGCGACCAACCGTGCGGCCTCGAATTCCAAAATGTGCGAGTAGTAGAACTGTGCTTTGAACTGTGAACTGAGTGAACTGTTGTCACAAGTTATTCGATTTATTGGATTACTCGTATAAAGTGTGGATTACCCAATTGACGACGATCATCTGTCGGGTGAGTACAAAACTTTCTTTCCAATATGAAGTTAGTAGAAATTCCAGAATTGGAAGCAGCTTTAAAGAACAGTAAAAGTTCTGAAATCAAAAGTTTGCATAAGCTTATTTTTAATACTGATGGAGATCGAAATAACCGGAAAAGATTACGTGAATTTTCTGGCTTTATATTTTAAACCAGATTCTGAAGAATTTAATAAGAAAATAGATGCAGTGCAGAATAGTTTTACTTTGAATGAGTTAATTAAAATTTGCAATGTACTGTGCATAAATTCAGAAGGTTTCAAAAACGGAAGTCGTAACCCGAATTGTCTCTTTACCTATGTGATTTATCTGTATTATTTGAAAATATTTTGCATGAAGAAAATAGTGATATTGAAGATGAAACTATTAATAAAATTTCTGAAGTAATGCTTGATGATAATCAAAGAGACAATCCTGGTTTTAATGAGTCTCAAGTAAATAACAGTATGCAGCTTCCAATTCAAGATCATTTTAAACCTCATCTTAGTTTTTCTGATATTGAAAGTATTGTTAATCCTTTTTCTGGTAATGCATATGAAAATGTTGATAAATGGATTGATGAATTTGAAGATGTTATAAAACTCTTTGAAATTGAGTGATTTGCATAAATTAGTTTTTTGCTAAAAGATCATTAAAAGGTAAAGCGAAACTATTTATTCAGAGTGAACCTAAAGTTAATGACTGGTGTAAGTTAAAAAAGCTTTTGAAATCTGAATATGGTAAAGCTTTTAATTCTGCTGAGTTGCATGAAATGTTATGTAAACGTAAATTAATGCCTAATGAATCTTTAGATGAGTATTTTTTGAAAATGAAAGAAATGTGTTCGCGAGGTAACATTGAAGATGCTTCATTAATTAAATATGTTATTGATGGTATTCCCGATTCTGTGGTTAGGAAAACTATACTATATGGTTGCGAAACAATATCTGAATTTAAACAAAGGCTTAAAATTTATGATAAAATGAGATCGGACAATGATAAGTTTAAAAATCCGAAACCGAAAGTAGACACTCAAGTTAAAGATAGAAGTAAGCTTTCGTCATCAAACCGAAATCAATCTAACGTTAATAAGGTCAAATGTTTTAATTGCCAGGAATTTGGGCATTATTCTAAGCATTGTGTAAACAAATCAAAGGGTGTAAAATGTATAAAATGTAAGAAGTTCGGGCATTATTCAACGAACTGTCCAGAGCAGACCCCCGAGACACATCAAGCAGCTTTATTACAACGAATTTGTGACAAGGATAGAATTATGAAGACTGTAGAAATAAATAATCATTTAGTTGATAGTTTAGTTGACACTGGTTCAGATGTAACGATATGCAGCGTAGAGTTACACAAGCAGATTGGTTCTCCTAATTTAAATTGTAGCGATATCACATTAAACGGAATTGAATCAAAGCAAACGTACCCCATCGGCTTTTTTTATTTCTGATATTTCAATTGATAGTTTTTCACTTGCGTACGAAAATTTATGTTGTTAAGTCATTATGTAATCAAATTGTATTAGGTTTGGATGTATTGAGTCAGTTTAACTTCTCTTTTACCGAGAATGGCCTTCAAATAATTTCTCATCGGAATAAAAGTAATGTAAACTTGATAACTGCTGAGTCATATCGAAATTCTAACGTTCGTTGCGTTATGGGAAATTTGAATATTGCTGTCTCATTGAAGAATGCTTATGATCCTTCGCGATCGTCTGGCGTCTCTGTTAATGTAAACAAAAGTCCCGAAAGCGGAAGTAGCTCGACGTTTAATTACCTTTCACATCTGGTGAATGCTATTTCTGTCAACGAGATTGATTTATCGCATATTTCAAATGCAGAACATAAAGAAAGACTGTGTAATTTAATTAATTCGTACCAGCCTCGGAAAAATAGACAATCTGACTTCAAGATGCAAATAAATTTATGCGATGATATTCCTGTCTGTCAAAATAGAAGATACATGTCTTTCGCGGAACAAAAAATTGTTGACGATCAAATTAAGGAATGGTTGAAAGAGGGCATAATAAAGCCTAGCAATTCTAATTATTCGGCGCCTATTGTTTTGTGTAACAAGCGTAATAATTCGAAACGTTTATGTATAGATTATCGGAAATTAAATAAGAAGATTATTAAAGACAAATTTCCACTACCTTTAATTCCGGAAGTACTTGATCGCTTAGAACAGTCCAAAGTCTTCACGACACTAGATTTGAAAAATGGCTTTTTCCATGTAGACATAGACGAAAATTGCACCAAATATACCGCATTTGTAACACATAATGGTATCTACGAATTTCTTAAAGCTCCTTTTGGTTTATGTATTAGTCCAAATGTTTTTCAAAGGTATATTTATTCAGTATTTCGTGACTTGTTAAATGAAGGTGTACTAATTATTTATATGGATGATATAGTCATACCGGCTAATGATGAAGTTGAATGTTTAGACAAATTAGAAAG